AAAAAATTACCGAGCCTTTGGCAACCATCGACACCATCGGCAACAGCATGACGAACATCAAAAACACTGTCATCTTCGAGGAGTAGCATCGAGTTACACAATGAGCTGGGGACAGTTTTTCCCTTGCACCCTTTCTGGCGGAAGCATGAGACGACTTCTTCGTTTCCATTCACTCCAGTGGCACACTGTCCTTACAGCGCCTAAATTCACAGATATAAAATGTAGCGAAGGTCTTCCAGACCTCGCCCTAACTAAAGACTTGGGGTAAACCTTTTACATACAACAAAACCAGTGCCAGGGAATTACGCCGTTTCCTCATACAATCTAATTCGACAGTAGCGGCGGCATAGTCTAGCTGCCATGCAAAAAGGGATTACAAAGGCAAAGGCGAATTCAGGAGAGGGGGAAGGAGGGACACATATCAAAGGATAAATCAAAATTTTTTGAATGAATTAGCATTTTTAATATATCATGGCATTCCAATATAGGTCTGGAAAGTTGGTTTGAGTGTACAGAGCAGCAAACAATATGACTCATTTACAGCTGTAAACTGCGCAGCCTTCATCGCAAGCGCTTCGCCTCTAATGGATTACACATGAGCCTAAAGCTAAAATTCTGACAAACTCTCAATCACAGAAACTTCTATTGATTCCGCCGTGGCATAATTCTTGATACTATTCTCCACTCTACGCTAATTAGGTTTCCTCTCGATCATCGGTTGAAGGCAGATGTAAAATTAGTGATATTAATCGTGATATATAATAAAAATATATATATCTGGAATATAAAGAATATATATAAAATATACAGAATATATACATAAAATACTAAAAGGTTGGATGTCCTCCACTTCTGCATTACGGAATGGAAAGCTGGGAGACCTGTGCGTCACAGGTTGCGATTGAAAATATTACAGTGAGGTTATCAAAAGCAGTTTTCATTATTGCGTCATACTAAATATTGTCCTATCAAATGCTTTTTTCAAAATACACAGGAACTAAGCATACCCAGGAGCCGGGTTTGAATTCATTAATACCTACTTGGGCATGGAACATCCCCCTAAAACACCGGTCTTCTAGATTCTCAGGTTCCTGAGTTAGCAACTTACTCGGAAAGGACTTTGACGGGCCCGCATGTGGGTACCACATGGGTAAGAGCGTCCATTTTGGGGATTGGGGCCCGTACGTGCATATAGATTAAGTTCCCAAAGTTTCAGCCCTGTAACTGAGATTCTCGAATAAAGATATTAGCAGAACGTACGCGTTATCAGTTTATCCACATTATTTTTCATAAAACAATCTTAACAAAGAACAAGAAATAGCTGCACGAGAGCACCCTGCGATCACATCAAATTAGCAGCGACAAAAAATTCCCAAGAAAATCCAGGAAAATACGAATCAAGAGAAAAATTTTGAAAACAATACACATTGCGTTACCACATCTACAACAACCATTGTTTTTCTGAAATTTCTCTTACAAGCTGATTACAGAAATGAACAGATCTGATTACAGAAATGAACGAATCAGTGGATAAAAAGCATCGGATCGGACAAACAACAAACGGTGCCAAGCAAGACCGGTCAAAATGAATGAGTGGAAAGATCAGAAGGAGAAGCACTGAGAGGGTAACTTCATCAGGAACCATAAGATCAATAAAGCGATTTAAAAAAAAAAAACGGCTTAAAAAACGAGAAGGGATTTAAAAAAAAAAAGTTGAATTTGGCGTAGAAACGAAAAAATGCCGTATCCCCCGGATCAACTGGAGAGCAAATATATTTTAATCAAACGAGAAAATAAATTCATGGATGCAACAAGTACTGAACAGGTAAGAATTTATAATTTTATAACTTTCCCACTTCTTCACTTTTCGTCTTCCACTTCTCTTTCTTGTCTGTTTTAGTTTTTTATCATTCTAAATTATTCTGTTACCACAATCGTCGTACTGACGAAATCCAGTTGCGGTAACGGTAAGAAATGTATATGACTTAACGGACCGAAACATTTCTTATTTATTACAAATATTTCCACAATCCCCTTTCCTCTTCTTACTTCGCCTTTTCTATCCCCTTTCTCCTTCTTACTTCTCCTTTTCTATCTCCTTCCCCCTTCTTACTTCGCTTTTTCTACGTTTTCATTGCTTTTTCATCTTTTCTACTTCATTATTTTCTCTTTATCCTTTAATATAGAAGGCCTTCGGCTGATCGAGAAGAGCACGTAGTGCGCTGTGGTCCAGAGACCAAGCAATCATGGTGTGACTAGAAATTAAAAGAAGCACGATGTGCTATTCAATAAAAAACATGAAGAAAAAACCCTTACAAACTCTTACACAAAAAAACCTCAATGAGGTAGTTCCATCACAACAATACTGCCAAAATTATGGAATAAAAGAGGGTCGAGAGGTATAAAGTGTGGAAAGAAAATACAAAGGCAGAATAACACAGAGTCTTCTCCAAAACCCGCGAATAATATTTTTTTCATACAAACTCCCGGGATAGACACACTAATCCAAAACAGTGTAAAGGCTGGCAGCAAAAACGATATCCCGCTTTATAGCTGCTGAGGTTTCTTCCATTTTTTCGTACAATGCCGGATCACCAACCAATCGTGCAGCATTACGCACATCACGACATACTTCATCGAGCCGTTGTATGCAACGAACAATCAAACCTTCTTGTGCATCCGTCAACTTCATTATTTCAGCAAATGGCTTTAAAAAAAACATTAGGGTATCAGTATGAGATCGCCAGGGTTTTTTAATAGTTACAAAAATTTCATGCAAAAATTTTCTTCCAGCTATTTTACCATGTAAGAAATCGCCAGTGATTTTGCAATTTTACGGCTAAGGAATGAAATACAGACCGGTTTTTTTTTTGCGTTTTTTTCTACTAAATGCACTCCATCTCCCCCCTGATTTTATCTTCAGCGTTGGAGTTCGAAGATATGACTAGGCTTCCTTAGAGAATGAAAGGAAAGGCCCCGAAAACAAGAAGTGAAAAGAGATAGTGGAGAGCATATGTTGTGAAAAAACGCTCAGGAGATAATAATAATAATAATAATAATAATAATAATAATAATAATAATAATAATAATAATAATAATAAT